CGGAGGCCAGGCCGGGGCGAGGCCGGGCCGGGGCGGAGGCCGGGGCTCCCGGGGAGGAAGCCGGGCCAGGGCGGAGGCCAGGGCTCCGGGGAAGGAAGGCCGGGGCGGGCTGCGTGGAGTAATCTCTGGCTCGGTCTTGCCCAGCCCGGCACCATCGAGCAGGCGGTGGAGGAGATCCGTGCGGTGGTCCGGCCGGTGGAGGACGGCGAGATCCAGGGGGTGTGGCTGCTGACCGAGTAAGCGGGCTGGCTTGAGCTCGGGTGGAGGGGCGGGCCTGGCAGAGCGGCCGGCCTGGCAGAGCGGCCGGGGCACCTTCCTGGGTCCCCCAGGAAGGCCTCTACGTCCTGCCCTGAATCGTGGGCCCCAGTCAGCCGGACCATGGTCCTGAAGGGTGGGGGCCGTTGCGATAGCCTCCATCTGACTCGTCTTGGTCTCCAGGGTGGACCACTGGAATAACGAGAAGGAAAGGCTGGTGCTGGTCACTGACCAGTCGCTGCTCATCTGTAAATACGACTTCATCAGCCTTCAGTGCCAGCAGGTGGTCAGGGTGGCGCTGGGTGCGGTGGACACTATCTCCTACGGGGAATTCCAGTTTCCCCCGAAGTCGCTCAACAAGTAAGTACATGCAGAGGGCCCAGGTCCCCGGGTGTCAGGGTAGAGTCCCCTTACCGTTCAGGCCCTCCTCAGTGCTCTTGTGTCTGCCCTCAGCTTCAAGGAGTAATGGGAAGGCCCTTAAAATAGAGGTTAGTGACTTGAGGGCAGCAGATGGCTCTGTGAAAGGGGTGCTGGCAGGAAACAGCCTCAGCTCTTAGGCCTGCAGTAAAATTGGTTTATGTGGTCTTTGATAGATGGAAGCAGAGCTGATATGTTAAAAGCAAACTTGGAACTTTCCCACATAAGCATATTCTATCTCCAGCCAGGAGAAAATTACATGGCCATGCTGTATTCCTTACTGGTTGATTTTCAAAAGAAAAAAAAGTAAGGTGATACTTTTTAATGTATAGATATTGCCAAAAGTTAGATACATCTGAAAATATCTCATGACTTATTTTCAGGAGCTGATCAATGCTTTAAGAGAGTTTTCTGAAATAAGAGAAATGTGTAGACATCAGCACATCGTCAAACTATAACTGGAATTCAGGGAATTCAGGAGACTTCACCTTTAGAAAAGTTTTAGCCAACACTCATTAGGACATTACAGGGACGGCCGGGCACCAGTGGCTTACTCACACCTGTAATCCAGAGACTGAGAACTAAGGATTGTGGTTTGAAGCCAGCTGAGGAGGAAAGTGCAGATTCTTTTTTTTGTTTGTTTTGGCCAGTCATGGGGCCTGAACTCTGGGCCTGGGCACTGTCCCTCAGCTCTTCAGCTCAAGGCTAGTGCTCTAGCACTCGAGTCACAGCGCCATTTCTGGCTTTTTCTGCTTATGTGGTGCTGAGGAATGGAACCCAGGGCCTCATGCATGCAAGGCAAGCACTCTATCACTGAGCCACCTTCCCAGCCCCAAAGTGCAGATTCTTATCTCCAGTTGCCCACCAGAAAACCAGCAGTGGTGCTGTGGTTCAAAGTGGTAGAGTTGTTAGCCTTGAGAAAAAAGCTCAGGGATTGTGCCCAAGCCCCATGACCACCACCACCACCACCAAAAACCAAAAACACTTGGGTAGATTAATATATTCCCATTCATTTGGGGTTACGGGAGGAGGGAATACAAAGCCTTGCTGTACTGTCCAGGCTGTCCTTGACCTCATGATCCTCCTTCCTGTCTCGGCCTCCCAAGTGGGATTACAGGTGTTTCCCTTCATGCCTGGCTGTGAGTCTTTTTAAAACTATGGAATGATTGACGAATTTGCATGTCATCCTTGCACAGAGGTCACGCTAATCTCCATATAGTTCCAATTTCATAGGCATATAAAAGTGAAGTTTAGTGTATCCAAGAGAACAAAATTAGTCACACCTAAGGAGTTCTTAAAGCAGTTGTTCCTGGAGGTGTAGTGGCCGCTGACATGCAGCCACGCTCTGCCTGTCCCCCGTGCTGTGTGCGCGGTTGACGGCCGTCTCTGCTCCCTCAGGCGAGAAGGCTTTGGGATCCGCATCCAGTGGGACAAGCAGAGCCGCCCTTCTTTCATGAGCAGGTGGAACCCCTGGTCCACCAGCGTGCCCTATGCCACGTTCATAGAGCACCCGATGGCAGGGGTGGATGAGAAGACGGCCTCTCTGTGCCAGGTGAGTGGAGGGCAGCGGTGCCGCACAGCCCCTCCCTCCGCAGTGACCCGCGCTGTCAGCCAGCACCCCCCGCGCTGTCAGCCAGCACCCCCCGTGCTGTCAGCCAGCGCCCCCCGCGCTGTCAGCCAGCACCATCCAGCGCTGTCAGCCAGCACCATCCAGCGCTGTCAGCCAGCACCCCCCGCGCTGTCAGCCAGCACCCCCCGCGCTGTCAGCCAGCACCAGCCAGCGCGGTGCCGCACGCTGCTGAGCACGAAGCACAGCTAACAGGGAGGACATGGCTTGCGTTTTGATGAGGGGCTGTGCTGTAAGAGGGTCAGGTGGTATGCAGCCTGGGTGGGGGGGCTGCCCCTGATCGTGGGGGATGAGGAGCTAGTAAAGGCTCTGCAAGTTTGTGCTGCTCTCATCCCGCTGAGCACCGCGGTGAAGACTGCAGCAGCGAGGGGTCCCCGGGCTGCAGCCGACGCTGCTCCCTCAGGAAGTGCAGTATGCCCATGGCCGCTCCAGTCAGCACCAATGCGGTCAGAGCAGGGAGGCCACAGCGGCAAGGGAGGGGGCAGAGACCATGAGGCCCTCGCCTCGTGACGCCAGGCTTGTCTCAGGTCACATGGCCACACATTCCTTGATTGTTGGTGACGATGCTGGCCGAACAAACCTCACTGTAAATTTTGTACAGCAAATGTTAAGACTCCAGGTTCAAGCCCCAGCTCTGCACAAAAACAAAAGGTCCTCATAGCAGTGCAGTTACATATAGGAAATATACTGGTAACAGTATGACCATACTGATTTATATGTTTATTACACACTTTAAGATTATTTAGAGTATACTCCTTTTTAGTGCCCGTCTGAGGTGCTAGGCAGGTGGCGCTGCGCTGTCTCCCGGGTTTCACACCCTGTAGTTGCCCTGTGCCATCTTGCTTCTGCCTGCCCACCCTTTGTGTGTGCAGGGGATGGGTTGTCTGTGATGCATTCCTTAGACCCTCCCCCCCGTCAGGATGTCACATGTGACTATGGAGTTTAGAGGGGCTTAAATTCTCAAAATGCTACTTTTTCCATGTAATGGATGATTCTGGTGTTGCCTAAAAGTTAAAGCTATATTGTAATTTTTTTTCCTCTGTCTCTCTTTAAAGCTGGAAAGCTTCAAGGCTTTGTTGATCCAGGCTGTCAAAAAAGCCCAGAAAGAAAGTCCTTTGCCAGGACAAGGTAACAGCGTGTTGGTCCTGGAGTGCCCACTCTTCATTGAGACCTATGTGGGGCTGATGTCCTTCATCAACAATGAGGCCAAACTGGGTTACTCCATGACCAGAGGCAAAATAGGCTTCTGAGCGTCACACGGTGGTCACACCCCGAGGCTGGCGGTGGGCTGGGGCGTGGGCCACAGGGGTGGGGTGTCGTGTAGGGGTCAGAGCACAGTTAGAATAGTCAAGTGGATTCTATGTATTTAGTCAGATGTCGGATGCCGGCTGATGTGAGCTTACAAAAGTATAAAGATGAGCTGCCGTGCCCCTGGTGTTCCTGAGTCCGATTCCACGTGTCCCAGACTCTTGGTAGCCCCGCCCCTCCAGCATGCCCAGTGTGGCTTGTAGCCGTCCACCCCCGCCCCCACCCGTGCGGTGGCAGGGTCCTGGTCTTGGTGCCTGCACGACTGCACAGATGTTTACACTTGGCGTTAAGCTTTGTATCTGAGATCCAGTCCACTTTTTAAGCTCAATACGAAAGCAGTCAGCAGACTGGTCACGAGCAAGATGCAGCCTAGGCCTGCTTAGCTCCTAGTGAACAGCAGGTCTTGTAAATACGTTCAGCTTAAAGTCATTCTCTTTCTAGAATCAATCCAGATTGTGTGAATAATTGTTACCTTGTCGAGGCATAAAAGGTTAGTCCTTAACACAATTTATAACTTGAGGGAGTCGCCATTGATCGTTATTTGCACACAATTTTGACAGCTAGATGTATCCTAAGTTTGTGTTCTATTCATGTTTAAAGGGGGCTGGGAGGTTTGCTTATTAAAGATGCACTTTCATAAAAGGCCACATGAAATCCTCCTGGATGTGTCCCCCTCCCACACACACCCTGTTCCTGCAGCCTCTGCATCGTTCCCTGGTGGTGTCCAAGGCTGCATCCACAGCTTCCCCCATCACTTGAAGCACTTAGTAAATTCAGTTGCTGCTGTCTGTGTCCTCATTCCCAGTGCTGTGGGCCTCAGGCTGTCAGGCTGGGGCATGCAGACGGTGCACATGGGCTCAGCCTGTGCTTTGGTTGTGTAGTAAAGACATTTAGAACCACAGAGACGTTGCTCCTTTTTTGAAGTTGCTGTTGTTAAAATGGCACACCGGCATGTGTGCAGCTCTGCAGGCCTGTCCGCTTGCTCTGGGGGGGGGGGGGTGCAGCCTGTCCTGCTCGCTCCTCTGTGGAAAGGCAGGCAAGTGGGGAGCACAGGTCCAGACGCGAGTCCTGATTCACTGTGTGGAGCTCTGGCCTGGCTGCCTAGTGGGCACTTCATAGAGCTGCCCGGAGCTGGGCTGGACAGGCCAGGGGTGTCCCTGCAGAGCAAGACCCAGGAACTCAGGACTCCCTGCATAACTGACCCACTGCCCCTCGGGGGTGTGCCTCAGGGAGTTGGGCCCCTCCTCCAGAGCAGACTGCACTGCAGGGAGCAGCCACCCTCTGTCCTGAGTGCTCGGTGGCTGGTGGCTGGAAGAGGACCTACAGCAGAGGGGCGCTGTCTCCAGCTCTGGGAGGAGCTCAGCAGGCGGGGTCTGCCTGAGTCTAAGCCACAGCGTGCCTGAGAAGGGAGCAAGGGTCAGTAGTCTTAGGAACTGAAAAGTGTTTATTTTAAATAATGAAAATTACAGCGGTATACTATACATATTTACAGAAATCTTGCTACAGAAAAATAGAGTCACATCAGCAGCCCGGAGTCTGGCTGGAGGGCTCCCCAGCCTGCCCTCGTGCAAGGTTGTGTACAAGCTCTGCCTGGGGTCTGCCCAGGTCCTATGCGTGGCCATCCCTTTGTCCTAGGGCTGGGCTGACCCCCTCCTTGGTCTCCAGGAAACACAGGCAGAAGTGGTCCTTACTGAGGAGGGCCAAGGAGTCCCCACTTAAATGCCAGCACAGGGAGAGCACTGGAAAGTCACCTGGGGAGAGACAGAGATTAGAAGAGCAAGAGGCCAGGATCTCTGAGGGCAGCCTGTGGGTGAGCCAGGTAGACCCAGAGCCACCTCCAGCCAGGAAAGCTTCAGGCAGCAGGGACTTGTCAAGTACTGCTGCTGTCAGTACTGCTGCTGTGGACAGCAGCAGGTTTCTGCGCTGGGCTCCCTGCTGCCTGACTGCGCGGGTGGCTCGGTCCCCACCCCACCCCCAGACGCTCACCTTCCCCGGGCACCTGCACTGACAGGCAGCCCGCAGGGGACCACAGGTACACCTTGCTGCCCCCCGTGCAGATGGCCAGTCGTGGCTGCTGCGGGTCCCACCGGAAGGCACGCACAGGGGACAGCTGCTCCAGCACCACGAACAACCTCAGCTTCCGGATGTCCCACACCCAGACGGCGTTGGGGATGTTGTCTGCAAGAGAGCAAGCAATGGCATGGGTCCCGCGGGTCCCGCGTGGCGGGAGGCACTGGGGCATGGGGTGTGACAGTCAAAGGGACCAGCAGTGGAGCAGAGCAAACAAAGGCTGCCAGCCTAAGCCCCGCCCTGGACCCTAGCTCTTCCCTGAGGAGCCAATGGGAGTGAGCAGGACGGCCGGGCCCTGAACTGACAGCAGAGCTGCTAGGCAGGACATTCGCTATGTCAGCAGACCCACACAGGGCGCCCTCATCGTTGCTGGCTGTTTCTATGGTGATGCGGACAGACTGTGAGCACACACTGACCATTCCTCGTTGCCAGGAAGCAGCTGTCAGGGCTGAAAGCCAGCATCCCTACGCCCATCCTGGGGTTGGCCCTGTCGGCCACGGGCTTAAGGGTCTGCAAGGACACTGGCATCGAAGCAATCTCATCTGGAACACAGGAGGGAGGGAGGACTGAGGCTGCAGGAGAGGACGGAGCTCCCATTTCTAGTCAGGGAGCCGACCTCTGACGGGCTCCACCAGAAGGCGCCCCAGCCGGTAGGAGGCCTGCCCACGTGCCCTGGGGTGCAAGGGCGCCACCACACGCAGGGCCTGCAGCAGAGATGGGACAGCGGTGGCCAGCCAGCAGCTCCCTGCCCACTGCCCCAGCCATGGCCTTGGCTACCCAGATGAGGGCACGTCCCCGCCCGCCCCGCCGCTCAGCTCCCGGTCTAGCTGGGCCCCTCAGCCTCCCCCGCCCGCCCCGCCGCTCAGCTCCGGTCTAGCTGGGCCCCACTCAGCCTCCTGGCTTCCCCGCTTCCAGCTATAGGAAGGGCTTCGTGGCGGCGGCAGGAGGTGGTCAGGTTACCACAGGCCCATGAGAAAGCCCTTCCTCCCCCCTCCTCTGCGTAGGCAGGTGCTTTCATTGTACCCTCCCTGCAGAGAGAGGGGCTCAAGCATGGGCCCCAGGCCACCGGTGTCCAGCCCCTGCCCAGTCACCCTCCAGACTCGGGGGGGTTAATTTCCATATAAACCTTGGCCTCAGAGAACCAGCTGTCTCGAATGGATTTCCAGGGCTTTCAGTCAATAAGCAGTGTCTGGGTGTTCTGAGCGAGTCCCCCTCGAGCCCCTGGAGACGGGGCGGGGGCGGCAGAGGCTGAACACCAGACACCCAGCACCCAGCTGCTCAAGAGCGGAGGGAGGACAGCAGGGCCAGGCCACACTGGAAAAAGCTACAGGACCCTCAAAAACAAAACAGCTGGGCAGGGCTCGGGTATAGCGCCTGCCAGCAAGAACAAACCAGGTCCTGGGCTCAATCTCTAGTACAGAAAACAACAGATCTAAAATGCACCTGGAAAGAGGAACCATATATGCCACATATACGTGCAGAAAACAAGCAAACTTCCTCCCACCCAGGAAGAGGAGAGTCGTGGGTGGGTTGCTCACACTTGCTCTCTGCAGCTGACAGGTGATTGGCCACTGGGAGGGACGGTGGGAAGGCCAAGTGGTCCAGCCCTGGCTGTGGGCTCTTCTTGGCTTCCTTATACACAACCTGAGAGACACAAGGAGGCCACCAACAGGTTTGTAACGGACTGAGAGGCCAGAGGATGTGGGGCTGGCCAGAGGGTGCCTGGCACCCAGGGACTGAGAAGCCAGAGGATGTGTGGGCTGGCCGGAGGGTGCCTGGCACCCAGGCCTGGCATGGTAGCAGGATCTACCCTCACTAGGAGGAAGGGGCAGCAACGTGGCCCCTGCTCAGCCCGGCACCTCCCCAGGTCGGGTCGGCTCTTTCACGAGCGGGGCCCCTGCACACAGATGCGCGATGCTCGGTGTTCAGACAGTCATGCTGTGCTCCTCCAGACTCTGCCTCAGACCCGCCTTCCTGGTACTTCACACCCCCCGCACCTCCTCCTCCCCCTCCTCCCATGTGGTGCTCAAGGGCAGCTCTGGGGAGGTCCTGGCAGCTCCCCACCTTGGCCCACAGCCCCCGCTGCTCACCGTCCTGGTCTGGGCTACCTCTGGACAGGTGGACTCTGAGAGGGAGGCAGCATCTGTCTTTGTTCCCTGCTGTCTCGTCAGCAGGTGGGGCACGCTAACACTGCTGGACAGACACCAGGTGGGGCTTCCTCTCTGCCACGGGCCCCAGGCTGCTCCCACTGCAGCCTTCCAGCCCTGCTTCCCTGTCTGTCCCCACTCAGCAGAGGCAGCAGTCTGTCTGCTCTTTTCTGCCTGAAACCCAGAGTAGAGGCTGACACAACATATATATAGAATTTTCTGGCAGGGCCCTGGCCCCTCTGTAGAAAGCAGGGATCTGCAACAGGGCAAACCAAGGAGACATGCGGCTGGGGTAGGCAGGGAGAGTACGGGCCTGTAGGGGCTAGGGGAGCCTGGTGACAGGAAGTGTCAGGGGCAACCACCCACGAAGTGAAGGGGCAGCGGCTGCCCCAACCCCCCGTGCCTGAGCAGACCTGCAGGGCAGACTCACTATCTTGGGGTCGCTGAGGGCAGCAGGATGGGCAAACTCAGTGATCACCTTCCACGTGACATGATTAAGGAGGCGCACCTGGGGAAGGAACCACGGACGTTGTGTGCCTGTGCCACCACCAGGCCCCCCGGAGGTGGTCTGTGCCTTGCGCGCGCTCTCTCACCTTCCCATCGTAGCTGCCCACTGCCAGGAATTGGCTGCTGGGGCTCCAGGCCACAGACTTGATGCCCAGGGACCATTCGTAGGCACAGTATGAAGACAGCAGCCGGCCGTCCAAGGAGTACAACAGAACCTTGTACTGCGGGGGGGGGGGGGAGACATGCAGACACACGTCACATGCGCCTGGAGCACGGCACCGCCGAGGGTCTGCTGCAGCGAGACCCCGCTGCCAGCCGGGGTGACGCGGAGGACCAGGGCTGGGCCTCCAGTGTGGAGAGGTGCAGACTGGAACGAGCCGGGAGGGGAGGCAGCGCCCTGTCACCCCGGAAGTGAGGCGGTGTCTGCCCTCCCGCTGCTGTCAAGAGCGTCAGATAAACGCAGACGGAAGCTCTCGGGCGAGAACACGCCCCACTGCATACCTCCAGGCAGGAGTCCCACACCGCCAGCACACAGCCGTTCGGCGCCCACTCGATCCCCACGAGATCCTGGGTGTCGGTGTTGAAGTGCTGCCAAGGGAAGACAGGGAGACCCCTTGAGGACTCCGACCCTGCCCTGCCTTAGGTTACAACGGACGTTTCTAATGTTCTACATTTAATTTTTACACACAGAAATGTCTGCATCCTTCCCGGGAACTGTGTCCCAGGCCTGCACCCTGCGCAGGCATCACTGGCAGGGCCAGCCTGGGCTCTGCCTCCTGGCGCCCACCCGACAAGGTGCACTGTGTGTCCCTGCACATCCCAAGCATCCCCACCTGCTCTGCCCAGTGAGCCTCACTCCTCAGAGACCACTGCTGCCTAAACCCTGTTCCGACACTGGTCCTTCCCTCCCTCCCTCCCCACATGTCTCTAATTATTGCATCGTACTCAGGTTCTGCCATCTGCAGACACACGCACTTGCAGAGCAGCGTAGTCTGTGCTGCAGCCCCCAACGTGTAGAGACCTAGCTTCAGTAGGGGTGAAGCTCAACCGTGTTCCTCCTGGTGCGGTGCCTATTTGTGAATGCGGTGCACTGATGGCTGTGGGAGGGGGGGCACGGCGGTCAGTCACATCCCTGACAGGAAGCCCTATGGTTCTGTGCTGCACACACACGCCTGGAGTCCCGAGGCACCTGCTCCCTGCCCCCCGCCCCTGCAGCCTTACCCGGAGGAGCTGCCAGTCATTGCATACAAACACGCTCACATAGTCCCTGCAGTCTCGCCGCTCGGCCAGCGCCAGGTACCGGCCATCCCTGGTAAAACTTATTCCTGCCAAAAAAAAGGAAGCAAAAAGGGTCGAACAAGAGAAAGTACAGCAGTAACTGCTAAGGAAGGACAAGAAAAACAAAGCAGAGGTCAAGAAAAGGAAGACCCACGAATGCAGCCTGCAGTACAACGTCTGGCCACAGGGCTCATCGAAGGGCAGGAGACTGGTGCGCACGCACACGTGCATGCACACACACACACTCCGCACAGAGTTTCTGAATCATATCAAATGAGCTGATCCCTCATGAGTCTCAGAAATCTTCCGGAAAGAATATAGCGCCTTGTGAATTACCAACTTCTATTTAAAATAAAATTGTAGGAAACCCAAAGATATCTTCGGATAGAGGAAGTCAGCTTGTAAGCTGGGCATGGTGGGCACACCTGAATCCTGGCACTCAGGAGCCTGAGGCAGGAGAGCTCTGGGTTCAAGGCCAGGCTGGGCAACCCAGTGAGACCTTGTCTCAAAGACAAAAGTCAACTTTTTACTGTATTATTTTTGCTTTCACATTTTATTATTTGGGAGAACTAATTTTGTGTGGCTCTGTGTGTGTGTGCCACCCCTAGTGCTTAATCTCAGGGCCTGGGTGCTGTCCCTGAGTTTTTGTGCTCAAGGCTAGCACTCTTAACACTGGAGCCACAGTGCCACTTCTAGCTTTTTGGTGGTTGACTGGAGATAAGAGTCTCATGGAGTTTCCTGCCTGGGCTGGATTTGAAACATAATCCTTAGATCTCAGCCTCCTGAGTAGCTAGGGTTATAGGCTTGAGCCACTGGCACCTAGCCAAGAAAAACTAAAAATTAAAGATAAATGCTCAGAAAAAACTTTGGCCAAACCATAAATTTTTTTTTCCCACTTCTGCATTAGCTTAAAAAGCCCCAGGCCAAGTTCCATGCTTCAAAAATAACTACTCGTTCCACTAAGGAAATGCCTGTCCCCTCTGAGAGATGCTAGCAGCCCAACGCCACCGCCAAAGAACAAACCACCGTCCCCGCAGCCTCTGGGATCTGAGCACATCAGCTAGGATGGGGTGTGCATTCCAGCATATCACCAGGTGTGCTTGGCCAGCCAAGCCTTCCTCCCAGAGGCCCCGGGCCCAGTGACCCCATCACCCAGCCCTCTGCGAGGAGCTTGAGTTTGATCCGACAGCTGACCCCAGCTCTGCGAGAGCCAAGCATCTTCCATGGTGAATGTGGGGCCTCTGTCTTTCAGAGGCCAGGTACAGACTTAGCATGTCCAGGAGTCTCACGAGAGGTCACCCAGGGCTGAGGGGCTGTGGATGCACGTGTAGCATGCTGTTGGAGCTACTTTGAAGCTCTCCATGTCAAAAGGGTGGAAGGTCCCAGAACCACGGCAAAGCTGTGCATCTGAGTGGCTCGGACGACTCACCCTGCTGACAAGCTTTGGGGTACTTGATGTACGACACAGACTTGGTGCACAGGGACCAGACCGTGATCCGCAGCTGCCGGGGAAGGAAGAGGAGGAATTGAGCATGCACTTGGCAGAAAATAAACAAAAACTAAATATATGTATGCTAAATATACATAAAACTAAATATACAAAACCTAAATATACATATTGGCCACCTCTATCAGTTCCTGTGAACTACTGGAAGGACAGTGCTCCCCGGGCCACACTCCACTGAGGACAGCTCCCAACAGGACAAGGGCCGGTGGGGTGGGGGGGGAGTAGGAGGGTTCAGAACACTGCTGAGGGCGGCAAAGGGCTGCCACACACCAAGTGCTGCATGCCAACAGGACCCAGGGGGGAGGAAAGGGCGGGGTGGGGGATGAGGGGGTGGGTGGAGACTCACTCACGTGGAACTCGGTTGTATTCAGAATGTGGCGTCCGTCTGGGCTCCAACAGGAAGCCACAAGTCCTGCGGAGCCCTCGTCAATTTTGCAGTGCCATTCCGGCTGCTCCAGAGACCACACCTAGATTCACGAGAGGGAAAGCACGGTTGACACTGACCACCTCTCTCCACCCAGGGGGAAGGGGAGGGTAGCTTCAAAATGGATCAAATGAGGGGCTGGGAATGCGGCTCAGTGGTAGAGTGCTTGCCTAGCATGCATGAAGCCCTGGGTTGGATTCCTCAGCACAACATAAACAGAAAAAGCCGGAAGTGGCGCTGTGGCTCAAGTGGTAGAGCATTAGCCCTGAGTAGAAGCAGCTCAGGGACAGTGCCCAGGCCCTGAGTTCAAGCCCCAGGACTGGCAAAAACACTAAAAGCAAAACAACAACAACAACAAACAGTAAAAGGAGAACTACTGTGAAATTCTAGCCGAAAGGCTGGGGCCAGATCCACTGCAGCAGCGACACTGCTTGGCCGCTTCCTTCTGCGGAAATTTCCTTCAGAGCAGTGTACTGCCTCCAGCCCAGATCACAGCCAGTTAGGCTTTGGGTGTACTTTGGTAGTACTTCCTAAAACATACAAGTCCAAGGTGCAGCTCTGCGTTTTGTAAACACTTGTGTTTGCATTTGCTTGCAAACTAAGACTTCTCATTTTACAAGTATTTCAATTCAACTATTAGAACACTGTAGCTTTAAAAGACACCAATTGGAACTGAATAGTACATTTTTTCCAAAACAAAATGGCACACAGGAAAATCAGTCCTTCTTAAATATGAACACTATCCTCACCAGAGTACCTGTATGAGCCTCTGAAAATATGGCCTGTATTACATACTTGCAGAGTCTCTATCTGTGCATGCCACAACTGCATGAGCCCATTGTACACAGCACACACACTCCTCCATGACCAACACTGTACAGAGCACACACACCTGCATGAGCCCACTGACACAGCACACACCTGCAAGAGCCCACTGTACACAACACACACCTGCAAGAGTTCATTATACACAGCACACACCTGCATGAGCCCATTGTACACAGTACACACCTGCAAGAGCCCATTGTACACAGTACACACACCTGCAAGAGCCCACTGTACATGGCAAACACACCTGCATAAACCTTACTTTACATGGCACACACACTCTTGCACACACCTGGATGACCCCCCCCTTGTACACAGCACACATCTAGATGACTCCCCACTTGTACACAGCACACATCTGGACAATTCCTCACTTGTACATAGTACACACACACACACACACACACACCCCTGGACAACCCTCCACTTGCACACGGCACATACGTGGCTAATTGCCCACATGTACAAGGCACACCCCTGGACCACGCCCTGCTTGCACACAGCACATCCCTGGACCACGCCCTGCTTGCACACAGCACATCCCTGGACCACGCCCTGCTTGCACACAGCACATCCCTGGACGACACTCTGCTTGCACACAGCACACGCACCTGGACGACTCCACGCTTGTACATGGCACACAAGATGAAGAGGGAGTCTGCTGACCACTCTATGTGCTGAACCTGGTCCAAGCAGGTGTACAGCTGCAGGATCTGAAGAGTGCTCACCTCCCGGACCACTAACCGGTATTGGACACAGGAAGCCTAGGAGAAGAGAAGAAAGCAAGGCTATCTGTGGGGAGCTCCCAGAACGCCAGCACTGATCTGTACTCAGAGACCGGCTCCTTCCCTGTCTCAGACACTTAATGTCTACTTAGCTTTGTGTTTATCAACCACCACACACTCCCCCAAACAAGATAAGTGACACAAAGATAACGCTGGAACCTGCAAACTAAGTTTTAGACTACTACCGATTTGATCATCACGCCGCGCATACTTGTATTCAATTATCACATGTACTCTATAAATTTATACAAGTGAAACAATCATCATAAAATAAATAAGCCTGGTACTGGTGCTCATGCCTGTAATCTTAGATATTCAGGAGACTGAGATCTGAGGACTGTGGGTTGAAGCCAGCCTAGGCAGGGAAGTCTAGGAGACTCATCTCCAATTAACCACCAAAAATTCCAGAAGTGGAGCTGTGGCAGTGGTAGAGTACCAGCCCTGAGCACAAAAACTCAGGGACAATGCCCAGGATCTGAGTTTAAACCTCAGGACCAGCGTGCATGTGGGCACACACACATACAATTCCAGTAAGAGATTATAACCAGAGTGCCAAAATGTTGAAAGAGTACAAGCCCCAAAGCACCAAAATTAGACACACAAGTTAAAAAAAAAAAAACCCTCTTATTTGCTGAAACTTTTATAAACAGTTGTGGAGGGGCACCTTGAAAAACATGGTAATTCTTGAGGGTGCCATTTAGGTTAATTTTCTACTTTTGTAGCTGAATGCTATTGTATGCCATTTAGAATAACTTTCTATAAAGAAAGTAAACATGAAACTTGAGAGTTGAGATCTCAAAGACCTGGGCAAAGGTAACAGGAATGACAACAAAAGCTCAAACTGGACAAAAGAAAAAAAAAAAAAAAGCTGTGACCGGTTAACAGAAAACAGTGGATAGATAAACTAAAGCACGTTTCCCCTGTGGTATTGGGACTTGAACTCTTTTGAGCTTTTTGCTGGGTAACTAGATTTGTCCACCCAAGCTGGCTCTGAACCAATATCCCCAGATCTCAGCCTCCTGAGTAGATAGGCTTACCCCCCAACGCCTGGCTTCAAAGCATACTTTTTTTGTGAGGCTTTTCTTCTGCTTAATGGCTTTCCAGGGTCACATACCCACCCCCTTCCTCCTCCCCCTGCAAACGACACCATTGATCACATTGGTATTTCTTGAAACAGAGTTACTGCTCAGTGATTTAAACACTTTCCTGTCACTCCTGGAAGGAGCAGCTTAAAAAAAAAAACTATAGTCTTGACAAACTCTTCTTCGCCTTGCTGGTTATTTAATCCTTTATTCCGGTGTGCTGAGGACACAGGGTAGGGAAGCAGCCCACCGGGAATCAGTCTGCAGCAAGGGAAATGATACATGTGCCTTTGTGACAAAGTAACAGTGGGCTGGCACGCTCACACCCTCCAGTTACAAGCAAGCAGCACCTCCTCATCCCCCTGGACTGCTCTGACCTCACTCGCCTGTGCAAGGAAGCTGGACGCTGCCTAGCTTCCCCTCCGGCCCCGGGGCCCTTGACGCCTACCTAGGCGATCTGCCCTTGCCCGGGTCTCACCCCTGCCCAGGGCACCGCTCGGGCCCCCCTCCGGCCCTGGGACCGGCCGAGTCTGCACCTTCTAAGGGCATCTGCCCAGGTCTGCAAGCCCAGGTCCCGCTCCGGCCCCCGACACCTGCTCCGGGATTCAGCCCCGGACTCAGGCACCTGCGCCTGCCGGGGTCCCCGCCGGCCCCGCCCGCCCGCCCGCCCGCCCGCCCCCGGCCCCGGGCTCCGCTCCCGCCCTCCCCGCGCTCCGCGGAGCTCTGCAGCCCGGCGCCTCCGTTCAGCCGCCCGCCCGGCTCCCGGCGCCGCGGGTCCGCGCCGGGGGCCGCCGCCGCCGCTCACCAGGTACTTGCCGTTCGGGGAGAACCTGCACAGCAGGCTGGAGAGCTTGAACACCTCCGAGAAGTTCATGGTTGCCGCCGCGCGGGCTCCGACCGCCGCCGGCCGCGGCCCCGGAAGTGAGGCGGCGGAAGCCAGCCGCAGCCAATGGGCGCGCAGGGCGGCCGCGCTGCATTGTGGGGCCGGGAGTCCGCGCCGCGCTTAGGGCGTTGACTGGAGGCCGCGGGCGGGGGGGGGGGACGCATTCCTGAGCCCCGCCCCGGGCGGGACGGGCCCGCCTCCCGGCCTCCCGCGCCCCCCCCCCAGCCCCCCCAGCTGGGGCGGCAGACTGGATGCGGGAGGCGACGGCTAAATTTGAATTTCAGATAAACAGTGACTACTTTTAGTGACCTGGGACGTAACTCAGACTGAAATAGGTCTCGCTTACCTGAAATTCAAATTAAACAGGGAACTGGTTAAATTTGGTTATGTGTGCGTAATCAACGTGGTTATGTGTGCATACACACACACGTGTGTAAATATTTACGCGCACGTAGGTCATCACATATATTTAATATAGTGTCTACACGTATCATGTTATATGTGATGCATAACATTTGCTTTGCTTGGGTTCTCTGTGCGTGTGTGCGCGCGCGCGTGTGTGTGCTGGGGCTTGAACCCAGGGCCTGGGCTTGTCCTCTGGCTTTTTCTTCGAAGCTGGCGATCTACTACTCGAGCCATAGCTCCACTTCTGTCTTTACTTGGGAGTTATTTGGAAATAATAGTCTCGTACACTTTCCTGTCTGGGCTGATTTGAAACCACGACCCTAAGATCTAAGCCTCCTCCGTAGTTAGGATTACAGGTGTGAGCCAGGACACCCAGCTTTTGTTTATTCCTGGGGGGAGGGGGTCATCTCTTCCTCCAGAGTTTCTCGGAACAGGTATGGAACGAATTTGACGCTGAGCCAGCGCCGCGAACCAGAGCATCACCCGCTCCCGCCTGTTCATTCCTCGAGCGAATCTGGACTCCAAGGTGCTTGAAGAAGGACCGAGTCAGGTCGGCGCCTGGGGCCGGATTCTCGCGGCCGGATTCCCGCTTGGGATCTTGGCGCTTGCGGGACCTGGGACCGAGCACCTGCGCGGGGGCTTGGCTTTCGAACTTCAGGTTCCCTCTTGGATGTCGAATCCATTCCAGACACCAGGTCTTCGCGGGACGGGCCTTGCCACTCGCGTGCGCACGACGCCCTTCGTGGAATCCGCGGGCCCTGTCAGCGCCTTTGCAGCCTGGAACACTGCGTTCTGACAGTCGAGCGCTTCCCAGCGCCTGCCCCCTCCCCAAGCTCCCCAGGGGTGTAACCAACACCCCCAAAGACGTGGGGTCTGTGCGCGCCTCGAGCAGGCAGTACGATGAGCCTTTTTCCGTCCCCAGCCCACTCCAGCCTCCGGCGTGGTGTGCGTCTCTGTAACACACCGCGGGCGAGCCGGGCTGTAGCCCGCTGAGGTGGGTTCGCGGCGCGGCGCGGGTCTCACCAGCCGGCCCTGCCCACAGCGCGTTCGGCAGCCACAGTAATGCGACCGTGGCCGCCCAGCCAGGTGGACAAGGGTCCCCATCCCCCCCCCACCTGCAGAGTCAGACCACGGGTCTCCCGAACGTCAGGGGCCCCGGCGAAGCGCGGGGACTCCAATGTTTGCCTATAAAGTATTTCTTTTGAAAATCAAGAAAATAAAACAGGATTTTCCGTGTCCTTGCGAAATTACTTGCAAGGCACTTGTAAGAAATAAAAGTGCTTGTGGTCCGTTTTTAAGGCAGAACGTTGGACATTGGGGAGAAATGCCCAGGAGATTGCGCGCTCCAGGACCTGCTGACACCCGCCGAGTCCCCAGGCACACAGGAAAGAGAAGGCTGGGGGAGATCAACGGACAAAGGGCAACTAAGTATTGTAAAGAAAGGGAAACGAAGCCCCGCAGGGGGCGGGAATCCTATCCCGCGAGGGTGAGGAAGGATGGCACACCTCGCAGTACGCAGCCAGCCGAGGAGCCCGGAGTGCTGGGAGGATAAGACGTTTGCCTCGACTGCTCCAGGTGTACCTGCCTACCAGACCCTGGTTTTGTAAGACCCCCGTTGAAGTCTCGCTTTTGCTGTACCAGGTCTCCCAGTCCCGCGGAGGCCGGGCCTGCCAGGACGAGGCCCCAGAGGCCCCCAACTCCGGGCGCCGGAGGAAGCTTGGGGACAGCGGCGTCGGGTCAGAACAGTCCCCGCCTCCCCGAAGCTTCTCGCTGCGCAGCTCACGCGTGCCAGTGTCGCCCCTTAACCGAGAACCCGAACCCCTGGGGCCTTGGGCAGACTGCACGGGAGGAAGCGGGATGGGGCCACGGTCCTGCGGGGTCCACACCAAGACTCACTCCCTCGGGCCTAGAGGGAGACCTTGGCAGGGGGGAGGGGTTTCCCCTAGATTCCTGGGGGCCGTGGCGCCGCGGAGAGCGCAGTGGGCAGCGCGGGAACGGCGTGGTCCTCTCTGACTCGCCCCGCCGTCCTCACCCTGGTCCGCTCCGTTGGCCACAGCGAGCGTGGACGCGACCAGCTGAGGCCCCCTCTGACCCCGACTCCAAGGCTCCGCAGTGCGGGACGCGGGAGGACTTGGGCTTCCTGAGGATGGGGCGCCTGGGGCCTCCAGAGAGAGCGCGGGGGGGGGGCAGGGGCGTCGCACGCGGAGTGCGCACCGGAGTCGACCCCCTGGGTTCCTGTGCGCACCGGGGTCAGCCTTGGGCCCCGGGGTCGCCGCTCTGGGCTCGGGCGCGCATCTGGATCGTCCCCCGGGATTCTGCACCCACGGGTGTCAGCCCTCGGGCCCCGGGGCGCCCCCACTAGGCTCCGGCCAGCCCGGCTGCCGCCCTCGGACCTGCGGAAGGTTGCGATCGCGTCCCGCCCGCGTCCA